GTTAAGCAACCAAAGTAGGACCAATGTTGAATTGTAGAAAACTGTTTGTAGAATTAATTCATCATCTCTTCTATTAGGTGTTCGGAAAGCAATTACGTATTTAACCACTATGGATTCTAAGTGAAGCAAACAAAAGTAGGGACCAATGTTGAATTGTAGAAAACTGTTTGTAGAATTAATTTATCATATCTTCGATTAGGGTGTTCGGAAAGCAATTACGTATTTAACCACTATGGATTCTAAGTTAAGCAACCAAAGTAGGACCAATGTTGAATTGTAGAAAACAGTTTGTAGAATTAATTTATCATCTCTTCTATTAGGTGTTCTTACGTATTTAACTATGGATTCATCATCTTCTATTAGGGTTAAGAAAACCAAAGTAGGGACCAATGTTGAATTGTAGAAAACTGTTTGTAGAATTAATTTATCATCTTCTATTAGGGTGTTCGAAAGCAATTACGTATTTAACCACTATGGATTCTAAGTTACAACCAAAGTAGGACCAATGTTGAATTGTAGAAAAACAGTTTGTAGAATTAATTTATCATCTCTTCTATTAGGGTGTTCGAAAGCAATTACGTATTTAACCACTATGGATTCTAAGTTAAGCAAACCAAAGTAGGACCAATGTTGAATTGTAGAAAACAGTTTGTAGAATTAATTTATCATCTCTTCTATTAGGGTGTTCGGAAAGCAATTACGTATTTAACCACTATGGATTCTAAGTTAAGCAACCAAAGTAGGACCAATGTTGAATTGTAGAAAACTGTTTGTAGAATTAATTTATCATCTCTTCTATTAGGGTGTTCGGAAAGCAATTACGTATTTAACCACTATGGATTCTAAGTTTTAGGACCAATGTTGAATTGTAGAAAACTGTTTGTAGAATTAATTCATCATCTCTTCTATTAGGGTGTTCGGAAAGCAATTACGTATTTAACCACTATGGATTCTAAGTTAAGCAAACCAAAGTAGGACCAATGTTGAATTGTAGAAAACAGTTTGTAGAATTAATTCATCATCTCTTCTATTAGGTGTTCGGAAAGCAATTACGTATTTAACCACTATGGATTCTAAGTGAAGCAACCAAAGTAGGACCAATGTTGAATTGTAGAAAACAGTTTGTAGAATTAATTTATCATCTCTTCTATTAGGGTGTTCGGAAAGCAATTACGTATTTAACCACTGTGGATTCTAAGTTAAAACCAAAGTAGGACCAATGTTAATGTTGAATTGTAGAAAACTGTTTGTAGAATTAATTTATCATCTCTTCTATTAGGTGTTCGGAAAGCAATTTCACGTATTTAACCACTATGGATTCTAAGTTACAACCAAAGTAGGACCAATGTTGAATTGTAAAAAACTGTTTGTAGAATTAATTTATCATCTCTTCTATTAGGGGTGTGCGGAAAAGTAATTGTAGAAAACTGTATTTAAACACTATGGATTCTAAGTTAAGCAAACCAAAGTAGGACCAATGTTGAATTGTAGAAAACTGTTTGTAGAATTAATTCATCATCTCTTCTATTAGGTTGTTCGGAAAGCAATTACGTATTTAACCACTATGGATTCTAAGTTAAGCAACCAAAGTATGACCAATGTTGAATTGTAGAAAACTGTTTGTAGAATTAATTTATCATCTCTTCTATTAGGGTGTTCGGAAAGTAATTTCGTATTTAACCACTATGGATTCTAAGTTAAGCAATCAAAGTAGGACCAATGTTGAATTGTAGAAAACTGTTTGTAGAATTAATTTATCATCTCTTCTATTAGGGTGTTCGGAAAGTTGATGGATTCTAAGTTAAGCAATCAAAGTAGGACCAATGTTGAATTGTAGAAAACTGTTTGTAGAATTAATTTATCATCTCTTCTATTAGGGTGTTCGGAAAGTAATTTCGTATTTAACCACTATGGATTCTAAGTTAAGCAACCAAAGTAGGACCAATGTTGAATTGTAGGAAACTGTTTGTAGAATTAATTTATCATCTCTTCTATTAGGGTGTGCGGAAAGTAATTTCATTTAAACACTATGGATTCTAAGTTAAAACAAATCAAAGTAGGACCAATGTTGAATTGTAGAAAACTGTTTGTAGGATTAATTCATCATCTCTTCTATTAGGTTGTTCGGAAAGCAATTACGTATTTAACCACTATGGATTCTGTAAGTTATAAACCAAAGTAGGACCAATGTTGAATTGTAGAAAACTGTTTGTAGAATTAATTTATCATCTCTTCTATTAGGGTGTTCGGAAAGTAATTTCGTATTTAAACACTATGGATTCTAAGTTAAGCAACCAAAGTAGGACCAATGTTGAATTGTAGAAAACTGTTTGTAGAATTAATTCATCATCTCTTCTATTAGGGTGTTCGGAAAGCAATTACGTATTTAACCACTATGGATTCTAAGTTAAGCAACCAAAGTAGGACCAATGTTGAATTGTAGAAAACTGTTTGTAGAATTAATTCATCATCTCTTCTATTAGGGTGTGCGGAAAGTAATTTCGTATTTATGAATTATGAGTCAAGTATCCAAGGCAGAAACAAGATTGAATGGGAGCTGCGTTTATCATCTATTATGGCGTTTGGAAAGTAATTGTGTATTTCTGCTCTATAAATAATGATGCGGTAGTGCATTTCACAATTGTGAATTTTTGCAAAGAATGAATTTGGTTTCTGTTGTAGCATACCTACAGACGATAGTAGGTACGCCTCTATTCATATAAAGACAGTAGTAAATACTGTATGTTGGTCTGTAGTTAGAGATTGGTCTCCAGCTGTGCTAGTCAAACTCTCCGCCTCCAGACAGAGAGGATCTCCAGATGAGGCTATGTCGAAAGGAACAGTCTCGTCTCGGCAAACAGCTACCCAACCCCGTTTTATACGGGGTCTATGTGGATATTTTTGGCCAAGCCCACGGACTCGGATACCCCGCATTAAATTCGGCCTTGTAGTAGATTTGACCGCGTGTGGCGGTTGGTAGATATCCTGCAGTTGGAGATTCGTCTCTAGCTGTGCTGGTCAAACTATCTGCCTCCGGGCAGAGAGGATCCCCAGGCGAGGCTATGTCGAAAGGCAGATTCTCGTCTCGGGAAACAGCTACCCGACCCCGGATTTTTGGGCCGAGACTACTGGCTAGGATACCCCACATTATATTCGGCCTTGTGCCACATCTGACCGCGTGGGGAGGTTATTAGATATCCTGGAGATTCATTGTGGAATTCACTTGACTCATTTCTGGCAGTTGACTACTTCGTCTATACGCCGCTGGCGAATCTTATATGTGTTGTTCGTGTCCTAAGTATTATCGTTCATTGCCAAGTTTCGTTTGATTATTCTATTCAGTAAACTTCCCTAGGTTACAACAGTTTCCTTGCGTTTTCATTTGAGAACCGAACATATAACAGCAATTCTTAGTCAATATTTCATTTTTGTATTGCATTGTACAGGTAATAAAAAATGGGTTTTGAGGGCCAATTGAAAACAAAGAAAACCGTAGTTATCAGAAAACGAGAAACCATTGCCAGCAACCAAACCAAGACTTCATCCACAGAAGTAATGGTTTGCGTCTGGTGAAATATGAAAAGTGTCGTCCATTACGAGCTAGTGGAAGATGGAACGACAATCATTGTAGAGGTTTGTTGCCATAAACTTGATCTCGTAAACGAATCATTTCATCACGAAATGTCAACCTCTGATAGAAGAAAAAAAAAAAAAGTAAGTGGGTGAACATTCAAAGATAAAGAAGTTGAAAAGAGTCTTTCGTGCATTTTTTCCAGAAAAAAGACCCCAAATTTCTTTAAAGGTGGAATCGTACATTTTCTTTTCCGTCGGGCTTTGATCGGTGTAAATGAAGCTGGCTATATTTCTGACAAATAATATTTAAATATTTTTATTCTATTTTGTACACTTTCTGGTAAAATCTAATCACTTTCCGAAAACCCTAATATTTGCGTGCATCCAGTTACGACTGATTAGTGAGTTCGACCCTCCTTAATCTCGGCCTTGTGCCAGATCTAGGGAACAGTTTTTGCGTACAGTCTGAATAGGTACAGCCAAAAGTCAAGGCTCAAAAGTCGACATATTCTTTTTAAATCATCATTTACTTTTTAAAATAAGTTCTTTAAGATAGGATGGGTGGTAGTGCAACGGTTAGCGCATCGGCAAAAGAAAATCGGCGAGTTGAGTTCGAATTCCGGACGAGTTCGTTACAGTCACTTTCGTATAAATAAACTTGGGAAAGGTACGAATCCATTTCTTCCCTCTACAGGTACGGATTAAATAGCAAGGCTGATTGGGTGGACTTACCCTGAGGTGGCAACCAGTCTGGGAGAAGGAAAACACTCATTTGTAAACTAGACTGAAGAGGGATTGGCTCCGTCTTGCTCTAGACACACCACTGCTGCCATGGCTGCAGTACATGTGCTGCCCTTACGACACTAACTGTGTTATTGACTAGTAGTATAACTTTACTGTTGTTGTTTTAGATTTTAGAAGAAAGATGAATTACGAAAATTGTAATTTTTTTTCGTTTGTTTGCTTGTTTTCTGTTTCATTTCTTGACACACTCGTCGATACAAACGCCGTAGAGTGTGATATACACGTTCTCCCCCAAAAGGGGTTCGGCTATATTTTGGAACAAAATCAGTCTGCAGGAAACACGATTGGTACGTTGTGAAATAAAGAATCGAAAAAAACAAAACAAAACAAAAACAAAAAACAACAACAACAAAAAAAAACAAAAAAAAAAAAGAAAACCACACGTAATGCTTTAAGGATGGAAGATGTCCTGATGAAAGTTGATGAAAATCGAGTTCAGTTCTAAGAAAAGAAGACAATTTAGCGGATTAAAATGAATGTTGGCCAGCCACTTAGTGCGTTTGTTCAAATTCACCTTGTATTTTAAAACAAAAGAAAAAAAAAAGGAAAAAACGAATAGATCCAGACACAACGAGAGGGAAAGAAAATGCTAATAAATAATCTATGAATAATGTTTAACTTACAGTATAAGCTTTTCTGTGTAGAATGTCCACCACTTCTGTCCCTTTTCTTAAATTTCTCAACTTTATGAACGAATTCTTATTGCAAGCCATTCTGGACGATGAAATTAAACAAATGAAATCTCATCTATATTTATAGTAATAGATGTTGGAATTCAGGAGGGAAAAATTACTCTTATCGCTTTTATTTAGATATTTCCTGTGAGACCGAAACAGCTGTAAATATCTCCAGTTTTACAAAGATTAATTTAATATAATTATTTTCAATAGCGGAGCTTTCTGTGACACTCCTACACGCAGGTCTGTATAAGTTATCAGTTTGTAAATATTATAAGATATGGATATCTAGGTTTGTCTTGTTAAATTTGTCGATATGGAATGGTTACGGGCACAATTTGACAAATTCGTATACTAAGGCTTACAAAAATGTTGTTGTTATATATTTCCGTGCAAAATGACCATGGAACCGTGGATTAAAAATCTAATTCTGTGCTTTTTATCCTCATTTTGTGAACGAGGTCTTATTGCGAGCGATTCTGGTCGCTTTTCAATTAAAAAAATGTTATTGTGTTTTATTTCTTTGTAAAAGTTTCAACAGCTGTCGAAAATCAAGAGTAAAATTATTATAATCATCATATTTTGACTCATGAATAATAAGTGGAGATTATTTAACAACAATTGATAATATTACGACTGAGTAGTGAGTTAGATCCTCCCTAGGTACCACCTACTTTCGGCCTTGTGCCACATCTACGCTTGGAAAATCACTCTAACAATTGATAATAAAATACTTTCCTGATATATTGGAGAAAATATAACTTTCATTCTTTTTCGTTTCTATCGAATCCAGACGTATCGAATCTACTTGTATTGTTGGATTAGAGGTGGGTGTAATGAATAACTGATCGAGATGTGAAATCGAAGAGCCGAGTTCTAATTCCCATCGACTTTCGTTACATTCACTAGCGCAAATACCTCTGAGAAAAGTATGAATCTCTTCTTTCCCACAAGCCGAGGGTTAAATAGTTGTGCCGACTAGTAGAAATTCTTGATAAAATCCAAAGAAGAATCTGCAATGTTATTGGTCCTAACCTGGCATATCGTCTTCTGTCACTTCCCTACCGCCGTAACGTATTTTCCCTCTGCCGTTTCTATAAATACTTTCATGGTTACTGTTCGAATGAACTTTTCACTGCGGTACGTAGACTTTATGAATTTAAGCGCAGTACTAGATTGGCGGTAAGGTCTCATCATTTTTACAATTTTTTACAGTCAGTTATGTGCCATACGTGATACACGCGTAGGCGATCATATATCTTTCGATACATGACTGACGAGACATTTTTCCCGAATTAGGTTGCCATTTCTTTCTGCGATAGACCAGTTGAGAGCCAAGTCTATAGAACCCGGTTTGTCCTGCTATTTGCCGATAGTTGGTGGGGAGAAGAAGAGGATTTATACCTTTCCCAAGGGTTTTTGCACGTAAGTGAATGTAATGGATTCGACTGGAATTCGAACTCAGCTCTCCGATTCCTCAATCCGAGCCGTTATCCATTAATCTACTGTGCCTCCATCTGAAATAGCTAGATGTAAGTTCTATGCTGATTGTTCTTCTATCACACTTCTTGCCTGTGGAACACTCTTCCGGTTTCTTTCTTCTTAATTTTTTTAATGCAATGTCAATCATTATCTCCTGTCTTCTGAATTCTTCTTTTATCGTTTTCTCTTCTTAATAGTATATTTTTTAATATTATCTCACACTCAGTAGCCCCTTGCATCTTAGTAACTTTATTGTCTTTCTTGGGGTGAAATGATTAAAAAAATGCCTGAGCCGTTCAGTCTTGGTTGGCAAGGAGTGTAGAAGAATAAATCTGAATTCGAAATGTAGCCTTGGCGAAGCACGTATTATACAGGTAACACAAACAATCGCAGAGTTTGCAAAATTACTTTCAATTGGTAAAAAACTTTTATCGATTTTTTTTAAGGAACTCTGTTTATTTAATCGTTTCTTCAAATGAATGTTAACTGTTGATTTCCCATTGAATCGTTTGACCAATTCATAAATCCCCAAGAAAATTCCGTCTTGATTTAGAAACAGCATCAAAAGAAAGAATCTGGAAGTTTACAACAAACCATTCCCTCGGACAGAATTAGAAGACTCTATTAGAAGTGCACATAATTCAGCCGTAGGACCGGACGATACCCACTATGATTTCTCAAAACAACTCCCAAAACACACATTAACATTGTTTATAAAAATATATAATGATATCAAGTCAAAGGGAAGTTTCCAGAACAATGGCGAAAAATAACTGTCATACAAATTCCAAAACCAGGAAAAAGACAATTCAGAACCTGGAAATTATAGACCGATTCCTCTCACAAGCTGTTTATGTAAATCCTTGGAGAGAATGTAGAATAATAAGTTAGTTTGGTAATTGGATACTAACAAATTAATTAGAGACTAACAATATGGCTTTCGCAAAAACAGAAGTACAATGGACCCCCCAGTTCGGTTGGAAAGCTTGTAGCGGACCCGTGGTTTTACGTGTTTTTTTGGTGAATGTTTGTACGTACGTGTACGTGCTTTTCATGGCGTTTTCTCACAAGTGGGCAAAACGCAGATCTCTGCGAGAGATCACATTTTTGTTAAATGTGTCCGCTGAAATACAAAGTAAAAAGAGAATTTACCTCACCTCCACGCGAGGTAGGATGTGGCACAAGGCCTGAAGTAAAGAGAACGAGGTAGGAAGTCGCCCAGTATTTATAGTGTGGGTCGAGCGACCCCTAGTGAACAATTTGGACAATTAAGGAGGAGTTATCTCCGACAAGCTCTATAAGGGATGTATTTATGCATTTAGCTACTGCATTCATTCATAGCATTCTTTCAAGTATAACTTTTCAGGCTCTCATTGGATCTATTCTGTCCGATCCAAAAGAAATAACAAGGAGTGCCCTAAGGCAGTATACTGTCATTAAATCTTTGCAGTTTTAAAATAAGTAAGATTGCAAAAGAACTCAATCTATAAATGTATATTTGTACGTAGATGATTTTACTGTTAGTTACCGATTTAAAAAAGATGAATACCATAGAAAGGGATTCGTAGTAATGCACAAATAAGATCAAGAAATGAGCAATAAATAATGGTTTTAGATTTTCAAAACGCAAAATAAGATTTGTAATAAAAACAAAATGTTTAATTATCTAAGATTGCAACTCGAAGGGACAGAAACCCAGTGGTAGACGACTACAGGTTCCTGGGAATAAATCTTGACAAGAAACTAACGTTCATAGCACAATTAAAATATTTGAAAACAAAATGCAATAAAGCAACACAACTCTTAAGATTGCTGGCCCACAAAACTTGGGGATCAGATCGAGAAATGATGCTAAAACTGTAAAGAAGATTAATTCGATCCAATCTGGACAATGGAAACCTTATAAACGAATCCGCAAGGAAATCATATCTCAAAATATTTAACCCAACCTTTAATGAGGTTCGAGATTAGCACTTTAATCATTTAGAACATCTCTAGAAAGTTTGTTTGCTTCTAAGCAAACAAACCTCGCTAAAACTTAGACGGGACAAAGTAGCCGTATAATACTACACGAAACTAAAAACAAGCTTCTCAAATTCTGCATACACTATCGATTCTATCCAAAATACAGAAACCTCATCCAAAAGAGAACGTCATAATAAACATTTGGACTTCGGATTGAATCCATCATTCAAAAAGTAGAAATATTTCTATCCAGAATCCATAATACAATCATACCAAATATACCAGGGTACCTCGACGTGGCTTAATAGTTACCAATCTTGTTACGTTAGAACTATTACGACTGAGTAGCGAGTTCGATCCTCACACAGTAATCCATACTTTTGGCCTTGTGCCACATCTACCCTTAGAAAAATCATTTAGGCACTTTGACGTGATATATTGATTATCATGTTTGTGTCGCTCGATGAATGTTGCTACTGAATGATGAGTTCGATTCTCATTGGGTGCCCCTTACTTTCGACCTTGTGTCATACCTGAGCTAAACTGAGAAAATCGCTATACCAAATATACTACCGTAGACTAAGAATACTGGAAATAAATCTAAAACTTTACCAATTTCATAAAAAATGCACATCCACTTGTATTGCAAAAGGAATTAGAAAAAAATATCAAAATCAATTATCTCACACAGTCGGTCACCTTTACGGATTGATGAAAATACATGAAGTGAAACAGGATGTGCAGCAGTGTATAACAAGAAAATAAAAAAGAAGTGTGTACCAAAAGAAAAGTCAATTTTTAATGTTGAGATTTGTACAATAGACTTAGAACTCGTTTTCATATCTAGAAGCAAAAATAAAAAAATAATATGTAATAATCTCTGACTCCGTTTCAGCCAAAACAGCAATAAAATAATAATAAAGAAACAAATAGACAACCGACTTTTGGTGGAATTGCTATGCAGTCGGGATTCCTTATTCAACAATAAAGAAATAGTGTTATACTGCATCTGAAGCCACATAAATTAGAGGAAATGCCCCAGCAAATTCAGTCGCAAAGATGAGTCAAAATGAAACCCTTAATAATAGTTTCAGAATCCCTTATACGGACCTGAAAAAGGAAATAAACACTTTCATTAAACAGAAGAGATAGAAGCACCGGACTGACTAAACAAATAATAAGCTGCACACAATCAAATTGGTTCTGGGTGAATAGAGGCAGGTGTTTAGAACAAGAGAAAGAATGAAGTAACACTGGCTCTCGACTGTAGATAGCAGCACATATAACTGACCCATTCATACTTGCTGAAAGATGAAGATCAACAAACGCGTACAACATACCAAGACTCACTCACGGTGAAACACATCTTAAATGAATAGAAATACTTAGCATCTGTAAGTCATATGTATTACAAGGAAACTAACATGAGAAAACTATTTCAAAATACTGAAACTATCAATGTAGTGTCCGACCCTGAATATATAGATTTATACCAACTCGTATAACACCTACTATAGATTATCTACAAATTATATATCTAAAAAAAAACATACGTTTATACTTAAAGTGTACAACATATTTGTAGTTGA